GCCCCGCCTCCCGGAGCGCCCCGGCCGCCACTTCCCGGATAAAGGTATCGCCTGGAGGAGCCGCAGCAGCTCCCGGGGAGCTGGGAAGGGCCGAGCACGGCATGTGCAGCCCCAGCACACGGGGTGCGGGATGGCAGCCCGCCTGTGCCGGGGCTGGCTGCTCTCACTGCTCCCTGCTGTCCTGCTCAGCCTCCACAGCCCGCTGTCGGCACCTGAGCCGGTGACATCCCAAGGTAGGTCCTTGGGGCCATTTTCTCCCCCAAAGGATGGGCCAGAGAGGAGCTGGCATGCCAGGCACAGGCAGCGAGCACCCTACAGCAGCCAGAACCTGCAGGGTTGGGGAGGGGGCATCCCAGGATGGTGTGCGAGGGGTGTTCAAGGTGGGCGATGGAGCCCCCTTCTCATGCATGGGACACTCTGGGGTGCCTGGAGCAAAGGGACGTCCCTGCTCTCTGCAGGCAGGACCTGGCTGCCCCCGGGCACCCCTTCGGGATGGCAGCATGCGGCTCCCAGCCCCGCACAGGTGGCAGAGGGGCTCCCTGCTCATCAAAAGCTCTCGGAGTTACAATGACAATTTTGTTCTCAGCAAAATTCAAGCTAACATCTGATGGCGCGGCTCTGCACCCCGGGTAATGCTGTGGCACTGCTGTGCTAATCCCAATGCTCCCAGGTCGGCCTTGCCATGATCTTACAGCCCCACCGAGCATCCTCGGCTCAGCCGGTAGCTGGCCCCAGCCTGGCCTGCTGTGCCTGGCAGAGCCGCTTCCCAGCTTTCTTCCGTTTCAGGCCTGTCCGTGCTTTCTTTGAGCCCCTCCTTAGCGCTTTTCACACTTTCTATAACACTATAAAAAGCATTAACTGAACAAAATCCTGTTGATCTCCTGCTCGTCTCTCCAGCCCCACCCCAGGTCTCTGGCCATGGCAGGCTCGGGAGCATGTTTTGAGTCACCCCCATAGGGGCAGTGGGAGGAAGGACGGGGTTGGGCTCGCCCCCCCTCTGCCCCCAGCCTCTGTGGCATTGTGTGGCTGATGCAGGCCGAGCCAGCCGGCCCCTCTTCCTGGGAAACAGCCTGCACCCAGCGAAGATGCTCTGGTAAGCCACAGGACCAGCGTGGCCTCCCACTGATGCCATGGGTCCCCGTGCCACCAGGCTGCTGGGACCTGGCCACCCCATCCCCTGGTGCTGGGAGCTGGGAGAGTCACGGAGCCAGCACGAGGCCCGTGGTGGGTGCAATGGGGTGCAAAAAGGGAAGAGCAGGTAGGGGGAAGACTGTGGTCCACGGGGAGGGGACGTGGGCTGGGAAGGAAGGCAACATAGGGCTGGCAAAGGAGGAACAGGGCTGGGGGTCAGGGCAAGGGAAGGGGCAGGGAGAGCAGGGGGATACTGGGAGGGTGGCAAGGACATTTTGGGACTGTCCCTTATTCTTCACCTGGGGCAGGCTCAGCTGGGAGGGCAGGGAGTGCAGAGCAGAGAACTGATGTGCTCAGCACATCGAGCAGGGCTGGTTGCTGGCAGGGGGCTTGTTGTGGGGTCCTTCAGCTGGGGGCAGTCCCGGGGGAAGGGGGCACATCCCAGGAGGAGGAGGAGGAGAAGGGCTGGGGCAGGTCCCGGGGCTAGAAGCAGTGGGGGAGAAGGGGGTGCTGGACCAATGCTGGGGGCAGCGAGGCCACCCCTGTGCTTCACATATCTGCATCTTGGGGCTGTCCCCTTTTCCCTGACAATGGGGACAGGCGCCCATATGCCAGCAAAGTCACCGGTGCTTGGGACAGAGATCCTGCAGGGTTTGATGCTCCAGTTCATTCCCGCAATGACAGGGAGGGCAGCATGCTGAGTGGGGCAGAGAAACTCACAGCCCCCCAAGCAGACCCCGAGCCAGGGTTTGAGCATCCCCCCTGCTCAGGACTGCGCGCCCCCACGCCAGCCCCCAGGCCCTTTCCCTCTCCCTGGGGCACTGCTCTCCCTTATCTCACTTCCACGCGCCTTCCGGCGTGAGCAGGGCAGGGGTGCTTCCCCCCGATCGCCGGGCCCTGAGCTCCCCTCCAACCGCAGGGCTATTTCGGGATGTTTGTTTGTCCCGAAGGACCCCACGTGCTGAGGAGAGGGGAGCGGTGGGGCCGGCCGGTGGGGAGCCCTTGCTGCCTGCCAGGACCCCAGCGCAAGCCAGCAGCCAGCATACGTGCCGTGTCCCTCCCCTGTGCCACAGCCATGTCCGTGGCCATGCCCATGCTGCCCCAGGTCCCTGCACGGCCCAGCCTCGGAGGCGAGCCGGCCAGCAGGCACGGGGCGGGGGGACGCAGGTGGGATGGGGGCAGGTTTGTGCCCAGGGGCTCCTTCACGCCCATGCTCCTCCCAGACGCTGCGCTGCTGGCAGGGGTGCCCGAGGACATCCTCTGCTTCTCCCGCTCCTTCGAGGACCTCACCTGCTTCTGGGATGAGGAGGAGGAGGCAGCAGCAAGCAGGACGTGCCACTTCTACTACTGGTACAGCAGGTAGGAGGTGGTGGGGACACAGCCCAGCCTCCCCCTTGCCTGCACAGAGAGCAGCAGGGTCAGAGTACCACAGCTCTCCGTGCCATCCCAGTGGCTCCCAGCTGCAAGGAGCAATGGCGGAGAGCCCACGGGAGCTACATAGCAGCCACTACACATCCTGCAGCAGGGCTGGGACCGTGGCTGTCCTTCAGTCCCATGGGGACGGTGCCCTGCAGTGGATGGGGGCACAGGGAAGGAGCTGGTGACACCGAGGTCTCGGTGCCTTGCCCCAGGTCCCCTCTCCTCCAAACTGGCCCCGGGCAGGAGGCATGGGGTGCTGCAGGACCCTGCTCTCCGTTCCTCAGGGACGTACCCACGGTGTGCACGGTCTCCACGTGGCGCCACGGGGCCGGCAGGACGTGGCATGTCTGCGTCTTCCCCAGCCAGGACGTGAGGCTCTTCACCCAGCTCCACCTCCGCGTCCTGGACGCCACCACCAACCAGACCAAGTACTGGCGGGAGCTCAGCGTGGACGCAGTGGGTGAGTCCTTCCCACTGGGCAATACCCGTGTGACAGCAGGACAGTCCCCAGACCTGGGTCCCCTGCCCTTCTGTCCTCCACGGGGGCTGGCAGCACCCTGCGCCCTGCACGGCGGGCACAGAGGCACCCCTGGGGGGACTGCCGGGTGTCCCCTGGCAGGACCAGGGTTGTGCCCAGACAGGGGCTGCCACAGGAGGGCAAACGCCCTGGCACATTCCCCGCAGGTCTCGTTGCCCCCCCAGTGAACATCACAGCCCGCTGGGCCGGGGCTGCGGGGCAGCTCTGCGTGTCATGGCAGCCACCGCTCACTGACTACCTGAACTTCTTCCTCTACGAGGTGCGGTGCTGCCCCGCCAGCTCCTCAGAGACACCCTGCAGCACCGC